CAAGAAGCAGGGTGGTTTGACCTACGTGTCTTTTTATTTTCCTGAGTTGTTTTATTTCTCTTATACTTGAGCAGTTTTAATGCATCATTCTGTCTAGACATTTTTAGAAATAAATTGAAAGTGTTTACTGAGGATGTGAGCTAGCAAGCCTCTTTCAGAGGCGTTGGCTGAAACATCTTGCTTGCTCTTGCTTAGAGTAAGTGGTGGAAGCAGTACCTTTAGTGCTTAGGAATTCATTATTCTTTGTTGCAGAAGAAAATTAATTACTGGGGCAATAAAGTCTTGATTTTTAAAAGCTGGATTCTTACAATGTAATATGGTCCTATTCATTATATTGGGCTTGTACCAACTAAATTTGTTTGAAGTCTTCAGAAGAAGGGATAGGAACTGAAGTACAGCACTTGTTACAATGAAGAGAGTTTGGTTTATGCTCCATTCCTAATGTGGTAAACTTACCCTTTGGTATGCATTATTTCCTGAATCAATAAATAAGCTGTAATGGAAAAGGTAGCATTTAATAAGGAATGACATTGTATGGGGTTTTCTTTTTTTTTACAGACATCATAAAATATTGATTCTGTTATCAAACCTGTAGGAGATTAGTTAAAGTTGCAGAAACTGGAGAATAGGGTCAGTTCATGTACATGTTTTTGTTATTGTGACTGTTAAATTATCTACCTTTAATATATTTTTTCCCCAAATTCCAGATAAATCATGTTATTCTGGGGAAACAAGAAACTATATTAATGAGCATCAACTCCATAATTATACTTGTGGCTGCATAACAGGGACACATTCATGTCATTTCTTTAGGCAATAACTTTTGTAAAGAAGTATTTTTAAACTGGTCATTAATTTTATGACCATAGAAATGAGATGCAAAATTTATGCTGTTGTCATTGGCATGGGTTCAAGGCACTACTGACATTATGTGTGATTGTAATGGAATGGCTGCCAACTAATGAGTCTATAGACATTTTGTTTGAGCAGGCTTTGCTTTTAGATGTTTGATTAGGCAGCAATGCTTTCAATTATGCCTGCAAATTGTATTGAATACATTTACCTGATGCCCATTGTTGCTTTGTAGTTCGGTTTTCTATTACATAAGTGCAAGTTGAATGCTTTCCTTTAATTTATTGATGCTTTTTGCGTTTATTTTTAGATACTTGGCACCTGAGGAGAATAGTGGTTTGTGCTGCTCAACACTGACTCCTCTGACTATTCAAGGAGTAACACACGGTGCTTTAAATGCAATTCTGACTGCTCCTACTCCATAGATGGAGTACAAACTTCAGTGCAACACATTGATGGAGGAACATGTAAAGTGGAGAAAGGGCAGAGGTTGTTCTGAGAGGGAATGTAGGAAGTCTCTTTGTAAACTGTCAGGAGCAACATCTTTATATATTAACAGCATACAGTCCTAAGATATCTTTTAACCCTGACAGAACTAGGAGGCAAAAATCCCAAGGTTTATACCAGAAAGTAGTCCTTCTTTTATGCCAGCACATAAACACGCTGTGAAATGTTGCAGATTAAAACTCCAGAGCACAATGGGTCAGCTTTCTTATTGAAATGTCTGCAGTTCTTCTGTACAAATTAGATTATTTAAGAATTGTATTTTTCAGTATATAATATAAATTGATGAAAACTATTATTTATTTGCTACTATTTTTCTTTACTCTAAAATAAAAAATGGAGGATTTCTTTGTTTAATCTAGTCCTGGATGAGTGGAGATTGTTTGTACCTCTCTCTAGAGTCTGCCACCTATTCTCCACATTTTTCACGTAAAGTGTGGGTATCTAAATGTAGTATTGTATGACATAGGATTTATGTATTGATTCTGAGTGTCTTTCTCAGTGAGGGCTTTTTTCATGGAAGCCTTCGAGCCTTCTTTAGGATTTAACATCTAGAGAATGTTTTGACTGATGTAAAGCACTGAGTGTGTAATTTCTTTTTTCATAATACTCTCAACACTTTTTTTTTTTTTTTTGGTTGTTTTACTTTAAGAGCATTCTGAATTTAGATATTCTAGACATAAAACAGAAACTTGTTTTATTATGAATCTACATTCAGTGTTACCATGTTTTTTGTTGTTTAATATACAGTATATAATTGTGTCATGATTTTCATGCCAAATGGCAACTAAAGTCAGTATAGTCCCTCACTCATTTGTCCCCGCTGGGATAGAGGAGATAATCAGAAGGGTAGAAGTGAGAAAACTCAGGGGTTGATATGAAGTTGATATAACGGGTAAAACAAAAGCTGCACATATTAGAAAGACATAACAAGGAATTAATTCATCCCTTGCCCTGGATAGGCAGGTGTTCAGCCATTTCCGGGAGAGCAGGACTTCATCACAAGGAACAGCGACTTAGAAAGACAATCATCAGCCTAAACATCCCCTACTTCCTTCTTTTCCCCTCAGCTTTATATGCTGAGCATGGCATCCTATGGTGTGGCGTATTTCTTGATCAGCTGGGGTCAGCTGTCCTGCCTGTGTCCCCTCACAACTTCTTGTGCACCCCAGCCCACGCACAAGTGTGGTGGTGTAAGGAGAAGAAAAGGTCTTGACTCTGTAAGCACTGCTCAGCAGTAACTAAAACATGCCTGTTTTATCAACACTGCTTTTAGCACAAATCCAAAACACAGCCTGATACCAGCTACTGTGAAAAAAATTAACTCTATCCAAGCCAAACCAGCACAATCTGGGATAGGTATGCCCTAGATATATATGTATGTATTATTAAAAAGCCCCTTGTTTTGAGGTCATCTGGCTTTTATATATATATGTTAAGCACAAATGTTTACTGAATTTGAAATCCTAAGTGTAATTGGAAGATGATAGTGTGGTGACTTAGTGGAAGAGCAAGGTAACAGTGCAGCTATGCAAACTTAGATCAGAGATTATGTGTTGCTGAGTGGGACAGAATCCTCTGGAGATGTTCTTTCTACATATGTACTCACCTACTTGTCATCCACAAGTCTTATTCAAATATACTAAGGTTTGCCATTCAGCCCATGAATTAATTATATGTGCTAGAGTGTGGTGTTTGTGGAATTGTTTTCTTCTAGAAATACAGCCTAATATTTTAAATTTATGCTGATACTTTCATGCAGGTTAAATGATAACGTGTTTATGCATAGCTGATAAGAGGACGTTTTTGATTGACAACAAGGGCTTACACATACACATATATTCTATGTGTTCTAGTACTAGTAAAAGTTTAGGACAGGTAAACAAAGGAATTTTGCCATTGTATAGGTTGTGAATATCATGTTTTTTCTTTTTATATGGAGTGTATCATCTAATGAAGATATATATAGGCAAAGAGAGCCAGGCAACTGGTCTCTGAAATCTAAGTGTGAAAGATGATCATGCTGGTTATAAATAAGGCATAATATGTTCTGTTCATGTGCTATCTGCTCTGTGTTCTTCTGTTTGGAGGAAGAGGTGAATTCTAGAGAGAAATAATTTACTTTTGATTGGTTTGACAGGTGTGATGAAGTGCAAATATTTTGATCAGATTAACACGATGACTGGCGTGCTACTGGGAGAGGACTATGTCAAAAATAGGTTGGAGTCGGGTTCAGATTCAGAGCAGTTGTTAAATGGCATGGGAGCTTGGGAGGAAGCTTCCCAAGAAAAGCATACTGAATTAATGAAGGCAAAGCCTAGCTAGTGTTTGACAACCTTTGAATGTAAAAGAACCCCAGCAAAGAAAATATCAGGCTTTGTTATTGTAACTGCATGGAAAACTTGCTGTTCTTTACAAACAGCCATGATGCTCTCTGGACATCTGAATTTTCTATGTATTTCCATTATTAAATGGGAGGGGGTAAAAATCAGCCATGGTTAAGCAGTCCTACTGATTAATTCAATTTCTGTGTCTGTGAAGAAGAATATTTTCACTATGCATAGGTTTATTTTGGATTCTTAGAAATTAGTTTTCTGATCCAGTGTTCTAAAAGGGAGCACATAAATAGAGAAGGATATTTGGATATCTCTGGGAAACTTTTTGTGTTTATATATGCCAAAAGGCAGTGCTTGAACGATTTAGCATTACGTGATTTTCAAGAAATTTGAGGGACATTTAATCTATTGCAGCATCAACTTTATGATTCTGGTCTGATGATTTTTGTCATATTTAGTTTTTCCTCCTTCTCCAAGATTTTGGTTTTTTTTAGGAGCAATGTAGCTTGTTATTTTCCCCCCTCTTCTTAGCCTAGATGTGTTAAACATATTTGAGAAAATATAATGAGTTTCAGAAAGAAGTTAAATTTTGCCTAATTAGGTGAAAGCCTCAAGTAATATTGATTTCACTATATCTTTCCCAGACCTTTGTGCTTATGCATGACACTGATCAGAGTGCACCAGATAAACTGATAATGTAGATTTTGTATCTGTTGTAGCAGGATTCTCAGTTGGGCAAGAAATATTGACAGAATGCTGCATTAAGCCACAGGTTCATACCAGATGTGCCAGACAGCAATTCCACTTCTAGTTTCATGGGAGGAATACACACACAGTTTTGCAAGGCAGTGCCTAATTACAGTGAGGAAAAGTCACTGCTGCCAACAGTAGTTTGGCTTTTCCTGGGAGAGAAGTTGGTGCAGCTCCATGCTGCACTAGGACAAGGCAGAACTTCGGAGCCTGGTGCTCTCCTTTTTTCTTTCTGCCAGTGTTTTCTCTTTCCCACCTCTTTGCTGTGGTGTTTCTTTCCCCCGTCGTGAGAAGCTGCCAGCTGTGCAGTGCTGGGAGCAGGTTCATTGTATGACAGCATTTAGGGAAACCGCTCCAGCAGCATTCACGCACCGGGTCAGGAGGTAGCCCTAGAACAGCATCGCTCACAGCTGTGCTGTAACTTGCCAGTGTCCATGAGAAATAGGATTTTTTCAGTTTCAGATAGGAATTAATATCCTCCTTACTATTGGAAATACTTTTATTCTGTGTGTTTTTGTGATAGACTATTTAACTAGCAATGTGTATTGACTTTTACAGAGCTGGAAGATGAGGAAGAGTCTGAGAACTCTCTTTCTTCACCTCCTGATAGCGTCTCAATAGCATCTGACCGATATGATAAAGAGGACGAAGCACCTTCTGATGGTATGTGACACTGTTTACCTTAGAAAGTACTAGATTTGCCAGTTTGCTATGAACTGATGTAATCAGATCCTCATGATGCGAATGTTAGTGTTGGAAAACAGATAAACAGATAAGCAGCACAGCTGGACACTTTTCCTACCTTTACAAAAACCTTTAAAGGAACTGAAGAGCTCTCTCTAGTGGTCCTAGAGCATAGTGAAGCTGTCTCAAATTTACATGGTGTATCTCAACTCACGTTTTTTGATAACAAAGCATCTTCTGTAGATACATATGTCTTTAAAGATAGATCAGTGGCTAAACAAGTATGAGTATTTGTAGTAACAAATTGTTTGTTAATTCAACATTATCAGATTCTTGCTTAATTTTATTGTGCTACTTAATGGCTTACTGTATTATTTATCTAATAAATAATGAAACAGTTTATGTGATTGATATTTTTCTGCAAACTCCATGCAGAATAGGTTCATAAAATATTAAATTAATTATTCCTCCAGTGTTTCCTTTCATTAAGACAGTCTTTTGTAGAATGTTTTTGTTATATAAATTTTAAGTTTGGGTTTGCATGTAAAAAAGTCTGTGCTTCATAGCTGTTTTCCATGTTGTTTTATTTTGTATGCATTAAGTTTAATGCTTAATGCGACTGTTCTGAAGACATGAACAATCGAATATTTCAACAATTAACAGGCTTGCTTTAGCACAGTGTCCATATTTTCGAGATTAGTTTATTGTGCACATAATATAAACACCTTCTATGGATAATATATGACAGTAAATTAAGTACATGTACAAATAAATTAATGATGTATATTAATTTGTGGCACTGGAAGTTAGATAGACTTACTAGTGAATGATGTTTTCTGACATGATATGATGATCAAACTGTGCAGCCCCATCTCGAAGTACAATTGCTGAATGAAAATATGCTTCCTGCAATGTAGCACTCCACATTTTATATTATCCAGATTATTCCCTTTGGAAACATAAATTGCTTTTATGAGGTATAAAATTATGTCTATTGCAGAACAGGGATAAGTCAAGTACATGCATAAGTGATAAACCTTCTAACCACTGATTCAGAATAATGCATTTTTTTTAATGTCCAGAACTCTGTAAAATGTATAACAATAATAATCACAGTTTTTTTTTTTAATATTGAGCTTATTGCATGTTGGCAGTGTGACCTCCTACTAAAATAAATAAAGCCAGGCCTTTTTGCTCTCTGGTTGAAATGTAATTATCAGTCAAATTGAGTATGGCTTTTAGAAAACCCAAGCTAATTTTCAAAACTACAGATGAATGCAACTTTCTACGTATTTATTTTTGCTTACAAACATAATCTTATCATTATTTCTAATTATAACTTAATAACATGGTACTGATTGCATAAAGGGTATGTGACAAAATTATATGACTGTTTAATAGGAGATATGATTATAGAATTGTTTCAAAACAGTTAATCAAGAGAAAAGTGGTAATGTTCATAACCTAAATAATGAATGGTTGGAGAATGCTGATGCAAGAGTATGTGAAATGCTGTATGAGTTCGTACAGAGGGGTGATTAATTTTTAGCCTGTTTTGGAAGTTACGAGAGTAGGTATAATAGCTGCTCAGCAATATCTTGACTAATTCATGCCAGTTTAGGTAGAAATATAGAGAGTGCGATTCTTTTATATTTGAGGTGATTGTACCTTGCTGGTCTTTCTGTATTTTATGATAAATCCTCTTTAATTACCTAGTGGGAGTTTAGCACGAAGAAAATTTGAGAGAAGGTGGTAAATTCTGATCTGTAAAGACTTAATTTATTGGAGTAAACAGTGTTCCTCTTTTTCTCTTTGAATGTCTAATGTGTCATTCTAAGGCTATTTTGATTTTAACATATATAATCCATCATTCCAGTCTAGCCATCTAGCCTGTGTATGAAAATGTATGTTGGGAAAATCTTATAAGAGGTGGACTGATCCCCAGAGGTGCCATTTGTTTCAGTTCTAATAGGCATAAATGGGTTTGTTGAAGCCCAGTACTGTATTTTAGTTTTTAGCAGTCTGTTAATGTTCAGTATTTAAATCCTGCTGAAGAAACTGGGTCTGTAAGGTAGATGTTTGATCTTGTATAATTACCAGTCCAGCAGGGCTCTGTACAAATCTAAAACCTGACTTGTGTAGGATCAAGGCTCTCAGCATTAACAGAGGGCCCTATCTGTAGGTAACCAAATTGAGGTGGTTTTTATTTATGTTTGAGTCCGTTTCTATTTTTATGTAAAACCTTCTACATATATTTTCTGCTAAAAAGCCCCAAGGCATTTCTCTTTATATACTTGAGTTAGGCTGCAAGGTTTGTATGACTCGTGAAAGTGTCGCAATTTGACTTTGTGGCATTACTGTCAAAACATAATTTGTGAAGGCACACGCTTGGTAACAGATAAAGAATTAGTGTATTATGTGTACGTTACAGTCATTGTAAAATCCTGGAGTTTTTGTGTGACCTTTGTCTAATGGTGTATTAATTACAAGAGAGATAATCCATTTAACAATAAGTATGGGATAACTAAATTAGCACAGGTCACCTAAAGGCCTTTTGTCAAATCTGATTGTTATGTTGTCCTTTTGACTTTTACCTTATGGTAGGCACTAACAAAGTATCTAAACTTTGATGGATTATAAACTCTAAACATGATATGTATTTTTCATAATGCTAATGTAATTTTCTAGGTACTGAAAAGGTCAAACCCCCACGTCTCTGTGTGCATTCTAAGTCTGTCTTTCCTTTTAATATTTCTTTTTCTCTGTTCCTCTGGTTCAAAAGTTCACTCAGTTCCCAAATGGCCACCTAATTTTCCAGTTATTCCCTCAAGCCATATGTGTTTTGGTTTCTTTATGGTTTATTAGGTACTGTAGGAAAGTAGCATAAGTTATATCATCTAATGAAATTCAAGCACACTTCAGTGATGCTTTGACTTGATTGCTGGCAGCAATTAAATCACAATGAAAGAGAATGATGCATGAGCTTACATGTCCAGACACCCTACAGAAATTGGAAGAGGGATAAAACACAACAAAACCCCCAAATAAAATAACAAACTGAAAAACAAGACGGACCAAACAAAACAGCACAGCCAGGCACTCTGGTCTTAACTTGATTTTTTTTTTTTATTGGCTAACAGCCTGATTGATAGCAAAATCATAACTTGCTGTATGCTAACAGGCAGAGTTCACTTGTAGGTTATTGTGAGCTGATAAAGGGTTAGATGGAGTTTTGATTTTCGCATTGGTCCTTGGTGCACCAGATTAATGGAATTTCAATGAGAGACTGGAGTAGTCACAGCTTTGTCAGAAAAACAGATGGAGATTCTATAGCCATGTCTGCTCATTAATACCAGTTGCCTGAAAGGTGTACTACTTCTCTATACAAAAGACTCAACATAATTGATTTTTGAGCGAAGTATTTTTTCACTTATTGATGACTAGGTTTCTTGCAACTTAAATGACAGGTTTTTGTATAGTACATTGTATAACAATGTTATGTCTTGTAATTTCTTATTCCCCTTCTATCTGTGTATTGAAGAATATATGTAGTGGGAAATAGATATGTCTTGATTAGTTAAAATCCAAAGCATGCCAAAATACTTTAAAATTGAAATACCAAGATTTTCTTTCAAGTTGGAAACAAACTTACTTTTGGTTGAGAAGTAAATGGGAAAAAACTTACTATTTTTCATTTAAATTTCAGATTTCCTAGGTATTAAATACAGATTCAATGGCAGGCTTAAACTTTCCTGTTTAATAACACAGTAATCTTCTTTTATAATATATAGGTTTTTTTTTCCTTTTTTTGGTTTATGGTATGGTAACTTGATTTTATAGTAAGAAATGTCACTAGTATTAAAGGACCAAACTCTCTGACTTTTAAGTGGACCTCTGAAGAAGACATGTCACTTTGGCTCTGCAGGGAGTATAATTGGATAATTACTGGATCTAAAAGATCACACTGAATGGTGTGATGAAATAATTTAGATCATCACTGTTTCTATGGACAGTCTAGAAATGTTGCCTTGAGAAGGTAAGGATGAAAGAAGTACTCAGAATGTGTCTAGGGACTTTTACGCTCTTCAGATTATCATATTTGGTTATATCTTATGAATAAAATATGCTCTTTAGTAGAAAATTTTTTAACAGTCTAAGAATCTCTTATTAAATTTCCCCATAGCTGAAGTGGAGGAAGGTAGGGCTGGAGCAAGCCAAACTGGGCACAAATGAAAGGGTTGTGTTTTAACTGTTTGTCATCAAAGTGCAGTCTTGAAAATGAGCAAAATTTATTGCTCCTGCAACATGATTTTCTTGCTATAATTTTGGGATGAAGCAACAGGCTTCAGCACTTTTTTTTCATTAGTTGCTTTGGAAAAGTTCTACACAAGTCTTTGCCGGCTGGAGTCAACTATTTTACGTGATCTATAGTATTTACTTAATATGAGCATCACATTTTGCAGTTTGATTGATCAAGTGAGAATGAAAAATTGTGTGACTGAATTTTGCATGCTGTTTCTTTTCATGTGTTAAGTCTCAAATACAAATACTGATTAAGCTTCCCCCCCCCTTATTTTTCCTATTTGTTTGGCCTAGTTGTTTGAATACTGTCACTGAAGAAGTCGGGTAGAGTTCAGCGTGAGGTTTTATCTTCGTGCATACACACAAGTGTTTTCCCACTTTCTGCAACTACATTCCTACTGAGTTTATTTTTGAGGCACTATATTAAAGCAAAAACTGTTCCTCACCGAGCCAGTTAAGCACTCTAGCAGCTAAGGTATTAAAGGTTGGAGAATAGAAAATGCAACTAGGAATTCTAAGGAATTTCTATCCTTTCCTGTTTTCCCCTTTTTATCCCTCCAGTCTTGTCTTGGTATACCACGTTTTAGTAACATAATTATGTGTATGGAGAGGGTGTCAGGTTGTCTTGGGGATGACAGCATTGGAAGTTTACCTGAGTTATTGTAGGAGATTAGTTA